GGCCCCTGTGCCCACCTTGGGGTCCCACGTGCAGGGAGGGGAACAGGGTGGCAGGGTGCCACCAAATGCCCCTATCCACATGCCGACTGTGCCTCAGTTTCCCCTGTGCCCCCCGTTGAGGACCTTGGCGCAGGGGGGGACACAGGGGGTGGGTGTCACTGGGGGCTGTCTGTGCCAGGGGACATTTGGCTCTGCCTTGGTGTCCCCCAGGGGGACCGTGATGCAAGGGGGGAACATTGGGCTGGGTGTCACCAAATTTCCCCATCCATGTGTTTGGCTGTGCCAGGGGACATCAGGCTGTGCCTCAGTTTCCCCGTGGCTGCCCATTAGTTGGTAGCTCCCAGATGCCTGGGTCCCCCCTGGGCCGTGCTGGGGGGGGCTGTGACCCGTGGGGGCCAGAGGGACCCGTCTGTGACATGTGTGGGGTTTGGAGGGGCTGGCTGGGGACTGTGATCCCCCAGGCAGGGCCACCCCCGCATGGGGGGATACCCGCGTGTCCTGGCTGGGGGGATCCTGTGCCTCAGTTTCCCCATCAGGGTCAGTTCATTGGGGGCAGTTTGGGGGCCGCCCCCTCCCCCATCCATCCTGGTGTCCATCTGTTCCCATGTCACGCCAGCCTGTCCCTCTGTCCCACTAGCCCACATCCCCCTGTCCCACTCCTGTCCCCAACCCCCGATGCTGTGGGATGTGTGGGCAGAGCCTGGAGGGGATCTAGGGGTGGCGGCCTGGTGACATATTTGGGGTGACAGGCAGTGGCGTTGCTCCCTCCCTTGCGCCTGGCACAGGGGAAACAGAGGCACGGGGCAGGAGGGACCCTCTGCCTCAGTTTCCTCTCTTGTGGGGGGGAGGTACTGAGAGGGCCCTGGGGGTGATGGGGGGGTGTGGGGGACACAGGACACGTGCTTGTGTCACAACCTGTGCTTGCGTCATGACATCAGCTCGTGTCACGACATGTGCTCCTGTTGCACCGTGTGCTTGTGTCACACCACGGTCCTCGCACCCCACACGCTGGTGCCACCTTGTGTCCCTCTGCGCCGTGTCTGTCACATCCTGCTCCCCATCCTGTGCCACGTCGTGTCCTTGTCCTTGCTGCATCGTCCTGTTCTGCGTCCATCGCGCCCTCGTGCCCGCCGTGTGTCACACCATGTCCTTGTGCCCACCTGTCCCGGAAGTCGCCGTGTCCCTGTGCCATCCCACGTCTTGGTGCCACGCTGCATCCAGGTGCCTGTCATGTCTTGGAAGCCACCGTGTCCCCATGCCACATCCTTGTGTCATGCACTGTCTTGGTGACCATCGTGTCCCCATCCCACGGCACCACTTGGTGCCACCCTGCATCCTGCCCATTGTGTCCCCATGCCATGTCCTCGTCCCACGCTGTGTCCTGGTTCCTGCCATGTCCCCAGGCCATGTCATGCAGCCATGCTTCATCCTCATGCCCACCACGTCCCCGTGTCCTCCCCATCCTTGTGCCCATGGAGAGTGAGTCCCTGTGGTCCCTGTGGTGCCACCTCCCCATGCTCATGGTGCCACATCCCTGTTCCTACCCCCACCGTGTCTCCATGTCCCTCCTGCCGCCCCCGTCGGGCTCCGTGCGGGCTGTTGCTTGGTGACAGCTCCTGGCCACCCACGCCAGACGCTGCCGGTGGCTCTACCGTGGGGCTGGGGGCGGCCATGGCCCCTCAGGGGTGCTGGGGGGTGGGGGGTGGGTCTGGAGATGCTTGGGGGTCCCAGACACCATCTCACCCCTCTGCCCCCCACAGAGGCCTTGGAGAACAGCCAGGAATGGACCCTGGGCCGCTCCATCCCGGAGATCCGCCTGGTGGGTTGTGTGTCTGTGTGTATCCATGTCTGTGTCCTCCTGTCCCCATGTCCCCATGTCCATGTGGCCCTGACTGCTCAGACGTCCTCTCTGTCTGCTCTGCAGGGGGTCCTGGGCAGCAGCAGGAGCGGGAAATCAGCGCTTGTCCAGCGCTTCCTCACTGGCTCCTACGTGGGGCTGGAGCCCACACAGGGTGAGTGGGCACGGGGTGGGCATGGAGGTGGGGTGGGCATGAACATGGGGTGATACACGTGGCTATGAGAGATCAAAGGTTGTGGCCATGGGGTGGGCATGGCAGTGGGATGGGGATGGGGATGGACATGGTGCTGGATGTGGCCATGGGGTGGCCAAGGTCATGGGATGTCCAGGGTCATGGCCATGGGGTGTTCAGGGCCATGAGGTGCCCAGGGGGGTGGTGCCGGTTCAACCACAGGTCCCCTCCTCTCCCCCCTGTGACCCCAGGTGGCCAGTTCAAGCGTGAGGTGACAGTCGATGGCCAGAGCCACCTGCTGCTGATCCGGGAGGAAGGAGGTGCCCCGGATGCCATGGTAGGTGAGGGCAATGGGCTGGGGGGTGGCCGTGGTGGCCAGTGCCACACCCTGACCCCCCCTATGTCCCCCCCTCAGTTTGCCAGCTGGGCAGACGCCGTCATCTTCGTCTTCAGCCTGGAGAACGAGGCCACCTTCCAGGAGGTGACGCAGCTGCACCAGCTCTTCAGTGGCTACCGGGCCACCAGCGAGGTGGCCCTGGCACTGGTGGGCACCCAGGGTAAGCTGGGGACATGGGACCAGCCCAGTGGGGAGGGGGACAAGGAAGGGGTGGCCCACCCTCATTGCTCGACCTCCCCCAGACAAGATCAGCTCCTCCAACCCACGGGTGGTGGAGGACGCCCGGGCCCAGGCGCTCTGTGGAGACATGAGGAGGTGTCTCTACTACGAGACCTGTGCCACCTACGGCCTCAACGTGGACAGGGTCTTCACCGAGGGTGGGTGGCTGGGGGCACGTGGTG